CTTCACCTCTTCGATTATCTTTTCTTTTTTTCTGTTCTTTTCTTCAGCAACTTCCTTTTCTTGGTACAACTTTTTTAGTTCATTTTCAATTCTTCTTTCTTGCTCCTCAGTAAACTCAATTTTTATTAATTTTTTTGCTTCTTCCTCCGAACTAAAAGGCTGGGAGAATTTGTTCATTTTTGCCTCATAAAAAGAGTTATTAATTATTATTAAATCAACTAAATTTAAATAATATTTTGGAATTGAATCATTTAGCACTTCATTACTAATTATCAAGTACTGTTCTTTATTTTCTCCTCGTTCTGAGAAAATTATTTTCTTAATTTCTTTCTTAGGAAATTCTTCTTTAAATATTTTTTCAATTTTTTCCCTTTTCCCTTCCTTAATATTAGTTAGTTCTTGAAGTAATTCATTAACTATTGGAACTTGATCTTGTCGATAATTAATTACCTGTTCCTCTAATTCTTTCATAGCTTCCACAATTTCTTCTACTTTATTTAGTTCTTTGGCAAATTTGACCTGTTCATTAGTTAATTCCTTAATGTCTATTTCTTCATTACGATCTTCATCATAAGCATTTAAAAAGTTATAGACTTTCTTTTTTAGGTCCTCGAGGGCTTCGCTTACCGTTCCTACTTCGCCTACTTCAATCTGTTTTAATATTCCCATTAACTCATTAAAATTTTCTAAAAAAGTATCGGCATCCTTTTCAAATTCTTCTCACTTTTTTTGCTTTTCTTCATAAAAGTTGGCTTTTAGTAAACTAGCTCCGCTTCCTACTAAAGGAGCAGTGAGAGTAATAACTCCTCCAGTAGTAGAGAAGTCTAATAAGGTTAAAGCACCCCCAATAACAGTAGTAGACGTAGAAGTATATTCTATACCAGTTAGATATTTAAATCGGCCAAATTGTTCCGGAGATTTTAATTTGCTTAGTTCGGTTATTCTTTCTTTTGCTTCTTCTTTCTGGAATTTTGCTTTTAGTTCCCTAAAAATTCTTTCGTATCATTGTTCTTCATATTCTTGGTCTCATTTTTTGAGAAATTGTTTAAAATTACTTCGGATAACAAATAATCTTTCCAAAGGAGTGACAGAAGAAATTAAGTAACTTTGCTTATTTTTCTTTCATTCTTCTAGATTATAATACTTTTTAGACCTGTTATCGAAATGTTCTTCAGCATATTTACCAAGTTGCTTAGTGATTATTGTTGATTTTCTATCTGCCTTATTGTTGCTACAATAAACCCTTTGGCAACTAGTTGGTAAATCATCTAAACCACTGTCTATATTAGTGTCACTGATGTAAATATTCTTTAATTTTTCCAAGTTTTTTAAAGATTTCAAATTTCCATTAAGAGAGCAATTCTCCATATTTAATTCCTCTAATCCTGTAAAAGAGGTTAAAAATTCTAAATTTTGACTAAGCAAGTTTGGATTATCTCCTAAGTAAATTTCTTTTAGTTTTTTTGGATGAGGTAAATTTTTTAGGAAATCCAAACTAGTGAGCGAATTATTGTCACAATAGAGGTGAGTTAGTTCCGTGCATTGGCTTAAATCTAAATTAGTTAATTGGTTATCTGAGCAATCAAGTTTTTCTAATTTAGTGAAATCCCGTAAATCCAAATGACCTTTGAGATTTTTGTCATTGATGGTTAAAAAAGTTATGCTTTCTCGTTTTTTTACTTCTTCAGTTTCTTCCTTAGGATAATTTTTATCTAGTCATTGTTGAGTATTTTGTTTTCTTAATTCTGCTTTTCCTAATAATTCTAGTTGCCGTCAAGGAGTTAGGCGATAATAATTATCAAATCAGGCGGGATCTTTTGCTTCATGTTGTTGCAACTCCTCTGTTACTCCTTCAATTTTGGCGGCCTCTTCCAATTCTCGGCGGATCTCGGAGCAAGCAGTATTGACTTTGATAGAAGTAGTTAGACCAATTTTCCGTAAACTCTTAGGTAAGTATTCCAAGCCTGAGTCGATGTCAGTTGCCCCAATGCCTAATATCTCTAATTTAGTTAAATTTTGCAGAGGTTTAAGGGAACCAACAAGACGATTGTAGATGCCTTTTCTAAATTTAGCTTTATCACAATTATCAATAAATAATTGTTCCAGACCGGTAAAATTACTGAATACCTCTAAATTTTGTTTAGAAAAATCATTGCTGTGGATGCTGAGAATGGTTAATTTTTCGGGATTGAGGTTGTCCAAAAAACCAGTATTATTAAGACGATTATTAGATGCATTAAAATAATTAAGTTCGGAACAGTTTTCAACTTTTATCTCGGTAAGTTGACAATTGTTGGCACGAAAATAATTTAGTTTAGGCAGATTGGTAAGTTCAATACTAGTAAAATTGTTATTATCACATTCAATTTTTTCTAAATTAGGAAGATCATGGACAATCAATTTACCTTCTAAATTTTCATTTTTAAGATCTAGTACTTTAGAAGAATAATTATTTTTTGAGTATTCGCGAATGTTTACCATATTATTTTGATTAAGAAAAATTATGAATTTGCTTTTTACTAGAAATCCCGTAATTTTCTTGGAGAATCTGAGTAGTTAATTGTCCTTGATTTTCAATGTTAACTATTTCCGATAATTTACCTTTCCATTTCTGCACTATTTTTTCTAACTCCTCCTTAGTCTGCCTTTTACTCAGCAGCCGTTTGTCAAGCATAGCATAATCTTTAGTAATTATTTTACTTTCATCAACAATTATTTCTTGTTCTAACTTGCTAATATGTGCCTCAGCCTCGGCGATTAAAACTGGCAAATCATCCTTACCTAATT